GCCTCTCTGAACTTGAATCAAAAGACCAACCATGTCCCCACCACTTTGGGGTGGTAGAAACTGGAACATTTTCAAGGACTCTTCCTCTAACCATATTGTCTTTTCCACTGCCCTGTTCTGTTTATGCCCTTGTTATGGCCCCTAGAACTAGATTGACTTCTTAGAAATTTCCATGTTATGGTCTGTCCGCTCCTTCCCTTGGAATTTCTTATCTGTCGCATCTTGATACCTCAGTGGAAACTTCCACTATCGTGTCTTGTTATATTAACTCAGCTCCTGGTCCAGGGCAGGAAACCCTGCTTTGGAAGCCTAAATAAAAGGGGGCCTTTTGCTCCATTCTGCCTTTCTAGAGGTAAAAGAGTCAGGAATGAGGTGTGTGTGTGTGTGTGTGTGTGTGTGTGTGTGTGTGGTGCCTTATTTGTGCAGGAGGGTTGGACACCGTGTTCTCAGTGACCACACAGAAGCCTTTGACAGATGCCCCTGCGTAGGTGTCACTGCCCTCATATGCTTGACCTAACCCTGCAGTAAGCTAATGTTTCTGTTGAAAGGCTGTCACCATTTCTCATGCTCAGCACCCTGGCGTAGTTTCTCTCGATCAGAGAGGTGATTTGCCGCACATCATGAGGGTGTTTTGATGAGAGCTCCGTGCAGCGCTTATCTGTTCCTCGGAATCAAGCCTTGTGGAATATTCCACCTTTTCGCTGAAAAAGAGAGACCCTTTTGTTGCTGCAGAAGTAGTTCTCCCTATCTTTTTCTTCAGCTTACAAACTAGTGGCCTTCACTGTATCTTTCGTACACGAATTATGCTCTGTTCATACTCCCCCCGATTACCTTCCCCCGTTCTCTTTCCTCTTCCCACGGGTCTCCTTCATCCCTCCACATGCTGTTCTTGAGTGCGCTGCTGTTTCTCTGCCCTCCAGCTGAAGCACTGGGAATGCAGCCTCGAGCCTGTGACCCTGCTGCTGGAGTCTCCTCAGTCCTGGGAACACAGTTTAGTGCCCCTCCTACAATGAAGGGAGCCGCTCAGTCCAGTAGGTGTCATATGTCACTAAGGTTTTCGGGTTAGCTAAAGCTGGGGTCACTTCGGGCACAGTGGCCTAACAGTCTATTAAATGCATTGTAAATGAATTCCTTCCATAAGGCTGAATATTATGACTTTCTAAGTGTGAATTGTGTTGTATTTAGTGGCTGTTGACAAAGGTAACCTGGAATATAGTTCTCCATCTCCCTCCCCAGAGATCCCCCTGAGCCGATTCTGGGAGTCAGGAGCCCAGAAACAAGAATTGAAGTCCTCCTGGGCTGCTTGCCTTCTTCTTTTAGCCTGAGAGCCTATGGTGGTTTCCACATGGCTATTTGAAGACCTTCACAGACGTGAAGTAATTCACAACTCTTAGCTGAAACAGGCTGTTTATTATAGACACAATTTCCACAACAGTTTATACATACTCTTCTTACTTTTCTAATGATGTGTTAGAACACCATGACCAGTGCAGCTTATTGAAAGAAGAGTTGATTTCGGGTGTACAGTCTGTGATGGCAGAGCAAAGGTAGCAGGGGGCCTGAGACTGGGGCAGCCTCCAGAGCTCCAACCCCCAGCAGGAGACAGTTAGTGCTAACTTAATGCTGCCTTTCAAAACCTCAGAGCCTCCTCCCCAAACTGCCATCAAATGGAGACCAAGTATTTGAATATATGGTCTTTGGGATCTGCTCTCATCCAAACCATCACACAATGTACCTTTTGAAGCAGGGAAGAGGATGCCAGACTAAGAGGCCATGAATTTGTGTTTTCTTTGGTTACTGAGACACATGGACAGTGACTTGTCCTTGTTGAGTCTCAGTTGCTTCATCTGTCAGTGAGATTAGTGCATAAAATACAATCTCTCCACTAAAGGAAGCGCTGCCCTTCTGAGCTCAGTGTAGTCGGCATCTCTGTAGTTGGTAACCAGTGTTCAGCAAGCAGTTTGTCGTATTATTGGCATGTGGTTAGTAAGTCCATTTTGAAAACCTTTAAAGTCATTTTTAAAGCAGCCCACTTTACCAGATTGTTTCTTTAAATCAAGCAGGAATGTGAGAGTAGCATAAATTATGTATGTAGTTTAGAAAGAAAAAAGAAAAAACAAACAAAACCTGACTTAGGCTAGATTGATGGCTCAGTGGATTAAGGCTAAAATTGATAACTTAATTTCTGTCACCAGAATCCACATAGAAGGCGAAAACTGATTCCTGGACATTTTCCTTTGACCTCCACCCAGGCACCACAATATGCTGCACACTGTCAGAGGAATAAATGTTATTTTTAAAAGCATCTATTTTGTGAAGTTCACTAGTCATTTAAAGCGTGAGTAGTAAGTGCTGAGATTGTAAGACTTCTCCTAGGTGAGGTGTACACGGGACAGTAGTGTCCGATGTCATGGACAGGATTAAATAACTGTTCAGTGCTTGGAACAGTCATGGCACACCGGAGCATTCCAGTTGTGATGGCCATTGTGTTCCCATCACGGTATCATCTCCATTGTGTAGACAAGCATCTGGAGAGTGCAATGTTCTCTGTGAGACGCTTTTATGTGTAAGAAGCTGCTGTCTTTTTTGTTTGAGAAAGATTTGGCAGTTGAGAAGCTAATAGTCACCAAACTAGTACATAAAAAAAGCAATTGCATTGACCTAATTAAACAGCTTTCTGGTTTTTGTTTCTAGACCTCATTTTACTTTTAAAATTTGAGAAAGTGAGTTTGCTATCATATTAGGAGAATTATTTATATAATTTACCAAGACTAGGAAAATATATATTTACAGCTATACATAGCTGACTGCTCTCAGTTGAGACGTTTTCTTACTTTCTTTCAATAAAAGAACAGGTGCCAACTGAAGGAAGATGAGTAGGGAATGTGGCTTCCCTTGGGAGAAAAAGGGGAGGAAGCAGGACCTGAAACTATAGGATGATACATACACACCACGTACACACCGGGACTGATGGCTGGTCAGGCAGGTGCGAGGGTGATCAGAGCAGAGATGGGCCAAGCACGAAGGTGCCTGTCCACACAGCAGGCACTCACTTCAGCAGCCTGTAGCCAGGCCAGCCAGAAGCAGATGGAGGTCCAGCACCCTTATCCTCTGTCCTCCTGACCGGGTGCCAGTGCTGTGTCAGATACAGGGAATGTGTGGAGCGAGGGCAGCATTATTTGGGGCTTAGTTAATTTTGTAGTTTGTGTTTTCTTACACATGCCTGTGTGCTTTTGGTGAATGAATAATCAGATGAGCAAGAAAACCACGCCTGTGCTGGTCTTGACAACGCCTTTTGAGCAGTAAATCCTCCTTTATATGGAAGGTGAAATATGGCTAGGCAGGGAAGCGGTGGATCTGTCAGTGGCCATCAACAGACTGCTTTAAATGGTTGGTTAGCAAATGTTTAATGAGTATCCACCTTATTCTTGAGCCTGTGGGACTCTCCAAGCTCCTCAGTGTACTCTGAATGGCCTTAGAGAAGCATGAGGCCTATGGGAACCCCTGGTCTGCATCTTCCTCAACCAGCAGGCTCCACCATGAGCTAACTGGTTTATGGATCTAATGTCAGGTCGTCCCTAGCAGCAACTACTTCCATCCCTGTAGCTCATGTGACCTGACAATTTTGTACTCTTTGTTTATGTTTGGTGTCTGCTCTGTAGACCAGACTGTCCTCAAACTTGTAATGATGCTCTACCCCTGCCTTCCCGGTCCTCTGATTGTAGGTATGCATCAACATGCCTGGCTTTAATTTTATATTCTTTATTTAAAGAAGGCTCTCAATGTAAAACTCAGAGCCTACAGAAACTGCATCTGAGTGCAAGTGCAGCAGGGCAGAGTGTCAGGGCCTCCAGGCCTTTCCTCTTCCCTCTCCTGTGCTGTGTAGGCAGTCACCAGCATGCCAGGACTCAACCCTGCCCCATCCCCAACAGGCTTTGGCCCTGTGTGTGCAGCTAAATCTAGATTTTCAGTGGGGATACCTGAACATTTTATAAAAGAAGAACCGCCCAGTGGGGAACTGCTTCCTGAGTCATCTCTCCGCCTCCGCCCTGCCACCAAGCACCTTCCTTGGGTCCGTGGTGTGATAGAGTCCACTACTCCTCCAGGAAGGGAGGCTTTCACTCTCAAGCCTCTGGAGTAGCTGTGGTTGATTAGAAACTCCCCAGAGGAGGCGTTGGGAGGGAGCCACGGAAGTATCCAGTGTCTGAAACAAGCACTGTGAAAAGTTTTCCTTCAAACAGAAAACCATAGCTGCTGCAGTAGAACCATGGCCCCGACTCAAGCTTTAGAACAGTCCAGCCTGCAGGACTGTCCAGGTGACCTGTTAACGTGGGCCTGCTTACCCTCAGCCCTTAGTTGTCTCTCCCCTTTCTGTGTGAAAGTGCGGAGGCTCTTTGCTAATCAATCCGGGTGATGTGTGTTGGGAAGAAATAGAAGGAGGGAAAGGAGTGTTCGTGACTTTGAAGCACTGTGGGGAACTGGTAATGACAGTGACTTTCCCAGTGCAACACTGGCCATCTTTGCCCCCTGCAGGAGGACTAGAGTGGCTTACACACAAGCCATCCCAAGCATAGAGTTCTCCTTCTGCATTCTCTGAGAGTTTTATTAGAGTAGAACACGCATTTATAGTGGTCAAGAGTAAAATGATTAAGATGCTGTAAGTGGACGTCCCATACTCACTAAATGCACAGTGAACATTTAGCAAAACCTGTGTTGCTACCAGAGCATCACTACTGTTATCACTACTGTTATCTCTACTCTCCCTCCTTAAGACTCCAAGGGGCCGCAGAGATGGCTCGGTGCTTAAGAGCATGAACTGGGCCACTGGGAGATTGACCATGCCCCAGTGAGTATGTGGACAGCACAGTATGGATTTGTGCTTTCTTTGGTGTTGTTTTTTTTTTTTTTTTTTGTTTTTTTTTTTCTTTTTGGGGGGGGGGGGGGGGCCGGCCCACAGGGGGGGGTGGGGGTGGACCTGGGAGGACTGGGAATGAGTGTGATTGGGTGCATTCTGTGAAATTCCCAAATAATCAAAATACGTATATACTATGCTAACAACAACACCAGAAAGAACATCTGCTGCTCTTGCAGGGGCCCTGAGTTCAGTTCCTACCGTCCATATCAGGTGACTCACACCTGTCTGTAATTCTAGCTCCAAGGCATCCAACCTTTGGCCTTAGCAGGTATCTGCACTAACAGTTAAAAATGAAAGTAAATATTTTTAAAAGATAATTTGTCAGAACAGGGAGTCAATCAGAAAATAGGAATTTTCAACTATGAAATGAATATATATTCGTAGTCTTGAAAACAAAGTCAGCAACACTGTCCATTTAGTTTAAATTGTTGGTAATGCTACTAGTCGACGCGGGCTCAGATTTCAGTCTCACTACAGCTCTCTACCTTTGTGTACTCAAAGAAGGATTCAGAAGCCAGGGGTGTGGATGCCTGCTATCTCATCACTTAGAGGTGAGGTAGGACCATCAGGGGTTCAGGGCCATTCTCGGTTATATGGTCACGTCAAAGCCAGCCTGTCTATAGAGGCTGAAAGGGAGGAGGCAGAATTTCAAAACTGATTCAGAAGTATAAGGGTTAAAATACAGCAGCCTTCTCATTTATTTTTCCCTTCGTTACACTGTGATTTTGGATCCTCATAGCCATTTACCAGCTGCTTTTTTGGGGTGAGATTTGGACCGGTCCTTTGGCTCTTATTGGGTGTTTTATAAATGGTGAGAATCTCACCTATTGTCCCTTGTTCACAAGCTGTACGTCCATCCTCTGGGGCCATGATGTCATCTTCATCCCCCAAGTGAAGGACACAGTGATGGTGTTCATATGCGTGCCATGGCTGTTTTCATTTTCCTTAAACCTTCTTTCTCTAGAACACTGAGTTGCATTTCAGTATTTGAGGGCATGGCATTGTTAAGAGCTCATGTAGTATTCCTGTATCCAATCAGATGTTTCTTTGGGTCTGTTTAACTTAAAACGCACACACACACACGCACACACACACACACACACACACACACACACACACACACATTAGGAATCCCCCATGGGTACTGCAGTTCTTTGTCTAAGATGGCATGCATGTACCTGCACATATTGTAATATATTGTATACACTGCTCATGTGTACTTTTTTGATTTTTGAGACTGAGCCTTGCTTTATATCTCAGGTTGACTTTGAACTCAAACTGCTCATGCATTGACTTTCTAAATACCAGAGTTATGGGTATGTGTCACCACACTGGCCCCTTCCTGGATACTTTAAATCATCTTTAGATTACTTTTACTGTCGAATACAACAGAAATTCTATATAAATGGTTTTATGCTATGTTGTTTAGGGAATAATGACCCCCCCCATCAAAAAGCCTGAACATGTTCACTACAAACACAGCTCCCCACGTGAAATACTTTTGCTATTCAGTTGATCAGATCTGCAGAAGTGGCAGGCACTCGTGGATACAAAGGCCTGCTGTGATGTTAGATGAAACTGGTCATGCCTCAGAGGTCTCACCCTCTTCCTCCTGGACTCCCAGCTGTAGCCTTACCTGCTTATTTGTCCTTCTTGAAGAATGAGGCTCTTCCTCGTTTGGGGTACTCCTCCCAAGTATTCAGAAATCCTTGCCTATGTGTTTCATGTCCCCGATCCCATTCTGTATTCCTTCCTTTGTGTTGTTGCTGGAGCTCTTTGTCCCATTCCTAGAACACATGTTCAGAGTAGACACTCAGTAAATATTAACTGGGTAAGCAAGCAAGAGAACAGACAGATGGATTCAGGGTCATCAGGGGATAGGACTTTTTGTAGCCATACTTTAAGTTAAAAAGTCACTAAAACAACATTGTACCAGGCATAGTGGCACATGTTTTTAGTCATAACACTTGGGAAGCAGAGCCAGAGGCAGGCAGATCTCTGTGAGTTCAAGACCAGCCTGGTCTGTAGTAGAGTTCTAAGACAGATAGAGCTACATAGTGGAACCCTGTCTTGAAAAAAACTAAACTAAAACAAAATATATAAAAGAAAGTAAGCTGGTTGTAGCGGGGCATGCTGGTAGGATTTGCCAAAAGAGGTGAAGACAAGAGGATCATGAGTTCAAAGCCAGTCTGTGCCACACATTAAGAAAAAAGAAGAAAGTTTAAAAAAAAAAAGAAGGTGGTGGTAGGGCATTTTTTTAATCCCAGCACTCTGAGCGGAGACAGGTGGATCTCTGTGAGTTCAAGGCCAGCCTGGTCTACAGAGCGAGTTGCAGGACAGCTAGAGCTGTTACACAGAGAAACTCTGTCTCGAAACAAACAAATAAACAAAAAAGTAAAACAGCATTGCAATACTCCTTTTTATATTTTTTATCTTTCTACTTAAAATATATTTTATACCCAGGAAACGGGGTGCGCCCGGAAAGGGGGCTGCCCTCTCACCCGTCACGTTCGTGTGGAACCTGGCACTAAACCATTCATAGATGACCTGCTTCTGGGTCGGGGTTTTGTACATAGCAGAGCAGTTCCCTCGCTGTGATCTATTGAGAGTCAGCCCTCGACACAAGGGTTTGAAGAAGAAAAAAAGAAAAGAAAAAAAAATATACTTTATACCATGTCAGTATTCAGGACTAAGAAAGTACCCTAAGACAAAACTCCTTGTCAGACTGCAAATTGAAACCTACTTTAAAAAGTTGTTAATAAAATGAAATAACAGCCTTGAGCCTGATATGATGGCACATGCGCATAATCCAGCATCTGCCAGGGGAAAGGTTCCAAGGCTAGCCATAGCTACCTCATAGATTTAAGTCCCGTCTGGCCTAAGTTAGAAACACTGACAACAATAACAAGGTAATTAATAGCCTTTAGTCTTTTAAGAAAAGATAATGTTAACATCGTTGTTGTTACAGAAAAGCCAATAAATAAATACTTGATAGAGGATTCAGTTTAGAATTACAGAGAAATTATAGCACCCTCTGAGGTTTTACAGGCAGGAAATGTTTATCCAAACGGAGTCTCACATGCTCTTAAAAGTGATGCGTATTTGAGTCTGTAGTGTCCCTGCCAAAGGTGCAGGGATATGTCCTATAAGAAACAAAGCTCTGGCCATTTCAAATTGTGGGACATTCTACTTGTAACAAATATCAGCATTGTCAAATTAAAAAAAAAAAAAGACTCAGGAGGAGGTACCCTTAGTGGTGGCTTGAGTGAGAGTGGCTCCCACAGGCTCGTGTATCTGAATGTGTGGTTCCCATTTGGTGCTAGGTAGGAAGGATTCGGAGATAAAGGCCTTGTGGGCAGAGGTATGTCACTGTTGACCTTGAGGTCTCAAAAGCCCACACCAGGCCTGCCTCCCTCTCCCTCTCTCTATTCCTCCTTGCCTCCCTCCCTCCTTCTCTCTTCCTTTCTCTCCACCTGCAGCTTGCAGAGGGGCTGTGAGCTCTTGGCCACTCTATTGCACTTTGCCTGTCTGTTCCTCACCATGATATTCATGCAGCTACTCTCTGAAACTGTAAGCAAGCCCCCAGCTCAATGCTTGTTTTAGAAGTTGCCTTGGTCATGGTGTCTCTTCACTGCAACAGAATAGTAACTAAGATACTATTGTGTTTAAAAAAGCAAAAAACAAAACAGAACAAAAACTAAAGAGACATGACAAAGGAATATATCATATAATTTTGAATTTTCTTTTTCTATAGCAGACATTATTGGGGCAGTTGCCAAATATCTGAATAAGGCTCTAGGTTAGATCTCTGTTAATTCCCTGAGTTGACTAATTAAAATATGGCTATATAAGAGAAGTCCTTATTAGTAGGAAATAAATGTCTGTCTGCCTGCTTGTGTTTCTGTCTTTCTTTCCTTAAGAGTAGAGTGGGATTAAAATAAGTGCAGTAAGATAGTGAAGTTGGAGAGATCCGACTAAGTAAAAGGCATAAGATAATTGCAGTGGTAAATACCTGTAGCTCCGCTCCTAAAGAGACGAGGTGGAAGGAACCCTTGAATTGAGGCGTTTCAGACCACCCTGGGCAGTATAAGGAGACTTGCACCTCAGAAAAGTCCCATAGCATGGTGTTTATAAATAATGTATTATAAAGAATCAGATGTCTTGACTGAAGTAAAGTAGCAAAGGAAAGATTTTAAAAATTATGTTTTGAGACAGGGTTTTGCTGTATGTCCTATATTGGCCTTGAACTCAATTCTCATGTCCTGATTTCCTAAATATTAGAATTACAGGCATATGTCTTCATCCCTGGCCCCTCCTGTGTACTTCTGTTACCTTTTTTCCACTTTAATATGTTTTGCACATTTTTCTCTAATAACATATTTCTTGAAAATTTAAGAGGAGAAATTTTATTTTTAAAAGATAGAAGAAGGACTGGAGGGATGGCTCAGAGTTTAAGAGCCCTGGCTACTCTTCCAGAGGACATGGGTTCAATTCCCAGCATCCACATGGCAGCTTACTGTCTGTGACTCCAGTCCCAGGGCTTCTGGCACTGGCTCCCTTACACAGACACACATATAGGCAAAACACCAATTCGCATAAAATAAAAATATATTATTTAAAAAAATAAGAGTTAGAGTTGGAGATAAATCTCTGTGCAGTGCTCACCTAGCATACCTAAGGCCAGAGTATGATCCACAGCAAGTCAAAGAAAAGGCTGTGTCTCACACACACACACACACACACACACACACACACACACACACACACACACACAAAATGAGTGACTTGTGATCTTTAATTCTTTGTCATTTTATTCTCCATCCTACTAAATGGAAATCATATATATACATATGTGTGTGCATACAAAAATTGCCCTCACATGCACAGGGTCTCAGAACCCAGGCACACCTCAAAAGATGACCTTGAGCGTGTGCATGAGTGGCCAGCCACTAGGTGGCACCATTGGTCAACTAATAATTTAAAAAAAAAAAAAAGACACTGCCCTGAGTGCCTGAGCCTGTGTAATTATAATTAGAGGCTGGTTTCCTCTGGATGAGTTGGCTGGCTTGCCTTAAAGAAAGAGACAGGAAGTTGCTTCAGGATTTGCATATGTGGACTTTCCAGCTCCACACGATTTAGAGCCCACAGTTCTACTTGGGGGACCTCACAGGCCTCTTGGCGGCAAATGCAAACCCTGTGTTAAGGTCTTTGCTGGATGATAAAAGAACTGTTCATGGTCAGCAGTAATTCGGGTTACCCCGGAGTCTGACACTGTGGAACAGAGCTATTCTGGTGGCTGCCAAGTGGGCCTGCCAAGGACCCAGAGGCTTCGGACCCTGTTCTTGTTTTGCAAAGCCAGCTTTTCAAACAGTCTCTCAGACAGTAGTGTGGCGCTGTGTCACCTTGAGGGCAAAGGGCAACCTGAGGTATACGAACAGACATCCGGGCTACCTGGGTGTCACTGTGGAGCATAATTAGCACCCAACAGTGCTTTGCAGATAATTGGAACTGAGGGCGGAGGAAGGTTAATGTCTTTGGTGAAATCATTCAAGGATGGGGTTTTTTTGTTGTTGTTATTGTTGTTGTTTGTTTTTGTTTTTTGGGGCTTTTTTGGCATGAACTATCGTTTGTATCTGGGTGCTGGAGTTCTAATTCTGTGTATAAAAGCTACTAGTATTCATTGTATTCATTGCAAGCTTAACAACCAGAAGGTGATACACTGATTGCTGCACGTGATTTCTTCCAGTTCCTCCTCACAAAGTATCCCCTTGACATAGGTGTAATTATCACGTTCTTCTTGTGGATAAGGAAACTGCGGCCTAGGAAGATTTTACTAGGTCCCATACATGCTGCAGGTCAGCTGTGGTTCCAAGGACTTTAGCTGCCGTCCTCGTAACAACTCTGATGCTTGGGCTATCGCTGTCGTCGTTTTAGGATGAGGAAACCCAGACCCAGTAAGGGAGGCTTTGGCGGGATCACCTCAAGAAGGAATGGTTCAGAACACAAATCCACATTTGATTGATTCCAAAGTACTTTTTGTAAAAAATGCTTGCCACGTTGTTCTTCATATGCAGTAGATACTTAACTTGGTAAATGTTTGTGAAGGGAATAGTTAAGGACCTAGAATTCCTCAATGCAGAAAATTACCCATGGAGAAACTGTAGAGGCTTACTGCTTCCACCCAAAACTGCACTTCTGTCTGCCACGTCAGTATTCCGGGACACAAATGCCATTCCATGCTCTAGACTCCACTGTTCAGTGTCTGTTAGAAATGGCATGTCTCTCAAGGAGAAGTCAGGAAACGGCTTCCTCGGGAGAAACCTTAGCTCATTTTATTTTATTTTATTTCTGACACAGCTATTTCCTGGACTTGTTTGTTCTGGGTTGTTGTGTCCAGCATAGTCTGTGTAGCCTCCCAGCGCCGGGGCTGGAAAACTGCCATGGTATCAGTCCATCTCTCAGTGTTGCGCCATCTGTGTCTACAACCACGTGCACAAAGCACCTTCCAGCCCTTGTGAGCATGCTCCATACTTCTGCTACCATCCCAGTGCCCGGGGAAGGTTCGTTAAGGGTCATCACTCAGGTCAGTGGGCCAGGTCTTGGTGCTGCTGGGCCTGAGGGGGGAGAGCAGGACACAGGCTTGTTCATCATTCTCCGGGTGCACTGGTTCTTTTCATTGTGCTGCCATAGTGGGTAGCTTAGATGAAGCTGGGGGAAAACCTCATCAGGGCCTCAGGTCTGAGCCCCAGGCTCGTGTGTGTGGCCACTTGCCCCTGTAGCATGCTTATTTTCAGCAAACAGCCATCCAATCTTCCTCAGATCTCAGCATTCCTTCAACACGTCAGGGGACCCTGACTCTACCCTTTCATGAAAAGCCATACCTTTCTTTTAGAAGTTCTTCCTGTAAATGCAAGAATGCCTTCCACTGTAACCAGAAGCATATCTGTCAGAAGTGGTGGGGAGAGTGTGCAGCTGTTGGGAGGGAGGCAGAGGAGTGTCTCCATGAAAACAGGAGCGGGGTTGACAGCCCAGGTTGACAGGGTTCCGTTTGATGTTTGATCATTTGATGGCCGCCTCATTAGCCCGACTGATCATTGCCCTTGAGCCCCCCTGTTTACCTTCCAGTGTGCAGAGAGAATCAGCTTCTGGGGAGCCAGTAGACGCAGGAACTAAAGGACAGACAGAGGCCAGAGGGGAGTGGGGGGTTCTGTGGATGTTTTCCTTCCTCCTGTCTTTTCTCTCCAGATGACACACTTAGAAAATCCATAATGTTTGGAGGAAGGTGCCCATGTCCTTTCTGAACTGGGCTGCCCAGGCCCTATCCAGCCATCTGTGGCTGAGGCACATTAAAACCCACACAAGGTATACTGCCTGAAAAACTCTGGTCCAGAGAATTATTAAGAAAGTATGGACTACCCCTGCAGTCTGTTTGAGCTCAGAGACTGTGAGGCCTGGCCACTTGATAGCGCTTGTTTTATAAGTTGCTTTCATTGTCCTCAACCCCCAGCCTCCAAACCCATTGAGATCAGTGGGTCTGGCTGATCAGTGGTCATAGTACTAGGACCTGGCACAAGCCAGGTCCTGAGCAGTCAGTGAGCATCCAATTTCTGCTTCACAGTACAGTGCCCAGCTCTGCTTCTGTTTAAAGCTTCAGGATCGCAGTATCGAGCCTCTCCTGTGAACAAAGAGAAACTTATTTCTAGGGAGGGCCTAGAACCTTCTAGTGGTGTTCTAGGGACCAGGATATATTTAGCATAGCTTGTTGAAGATTGTTATGATCCTAGAATATTGTAAAATTCTTAAATGCTCTTGACTCATCAGAGGCAAGTTAGATTATTCATTTAGCAAACATTGTGAGTGTGCACTTTGCACAGTCGTGTGCTCAATGTGATGGAGTAGGTCAGGGTAGGCTGACAGGTTTTGGCCCAGGGACGGATCATGAGGCTTTTATATGTTCTTCCTATGTTGAACATTAGGAAATAAAGCCAGTCTAAAGAAGGATGATCTTCAGAGTAAAGTTACATTTAATATAAAACTGAACAACAGGGGCTGGAGAGATGGCTCAGCGGTTAAGAACACTGGCTGCTTTTCCAGAGGATCTGGATTCAACTCTCAGTAACCACACGGAGGCTCACAGTCGTCCACAGTGGGATCTGATGCCCTTTTCTGGCATAAAGTTACATATTCAGATAAAGAACTCATATATATAAAATAAATTTTTAAAAAAAGACTACATAACTGAGATGACTCTTCACTCAGATTCAGGGTCAGATAAACCACTAGCCTTAGGGAGAAATTAAACTACATCAAGTGCAAACCCGCCCTTATGAGCCCACAGTCTAAAGGAAGCAGGAAGGATTTTCACCCAAATACTTCAAAGACAAACAGGATGTGAAAAACACTGTTCAGGCCAGCAGGAGTGAGAAAGTCAGTGTGTGTGTAATCAGGCGTCCGTGTACCGACACAACCGAGCAGGGCAAGACCAAGCTCTTTCCCTCTGTGACTCCATCCTCAGAGTACCAGACTTCTCTTCTCATACTTCACAGACCAGCTCCAACCTCTCATACCAGCGCCAACACAGAATAAAGAATGATTTGTCACGTACCTCTCCTTTAAGCTGAAGTCACCTCTTGACGCCCACTAGTCGGCTTCCCCTCTTGTTTCCCTGGAGAGGATTAGGACACTTGCCTTCCCTAAACTCATCTCTGACTTATGTGATCTACCCAAGTTAGATTAATGTAGTCACATGAAGAGGGAACTTAACGTGGCTCTCAGAGAGGAAGGGGAGATGACTATCAACTCTTACCCAAGAAAGCAGACCACCACAGAAATCCAGAGAGTCCTTAGACACCATGGATGGCTCAGAGGAGAAGTGGGCCCTTCCGAGTTGTTCCTGGTAGAGAAACACAAGGAACACGTGCCCTGTTTCCCTAGAGGAAATACAGGTGCTGTGGAGTGGTCAGCAAGGCTTCTGGAAAAAGTGATGTCTAATTTGTGGGAACATGGGGAGAGGCTTTCCCTTCAGAAAGATTACTCCAGTGTCAAGAGATGAACTGGGGAGGCCTGCAGGGCAGATGGAGAGAGCAGTGGGGGAAACACGGTACAGCTACCAGTGTGAGCTGTACAGGATCAACACGTACCAGGTAAGAAAGACCCAGGAGGCAGAGTGAGGAGAGCCTGGCCATGGTAGAGGGGAGGGTGTTTAGGATGGCTCTGTGGTGTCTGGGCATGTGCCCTGGCTTCTGTGCTGCTCTCTGAGCTGGAGACCATAGCGACAGGTTGAGTTCTGTAGTGGGGACAGAATGATGAGCAGAGGTGTAACTCATGGTCTTGTGTGGGGGTCAGGATGAGCCCAGGTAGTCAAGGGCAGACATGTAGGGCCCTGGGGTTGTGCAGAGAGGCCACCCATACACCATCCTCTTAAGAATGTGAGCAGAGACATGGTGAAGAAAGCTGGAGGGGAGGAGATGCTGAGAGCAGGTAAAGGGATCATACCTTTCAGGTCCAGGCAGGGACAGCAAGTTCTATGTGATGGTAGAGTGAACCGCACAAAGATTAGAGTACAAAGAATCTCACCAGAGTGCTAGTATTTGCCGTGAGTATTACAACCTCGAAACTTGGCAGTGTGCTTATATACACTGTCACTTAGTGTCGGCCACTTGTCCTTTGAGTGCAGGCATTCTTGCATTAACAAACATCGCAGCAGCCCATGCAGAAACTGCTCAAGGGAGTCAGGGCATTTCTGAATATGGCGCCTTGTCCCTTGTCTCAGGTCAATGCTCTGATTACTAGAGACCTCTGCAGAGAGCCTTCATTCATCACTGACCAAGCATTTCCCCAAGCATAGTTCAGTGCAGGAGACAGGGGAAGGCAGCAATCCGTCTGCAGAGCACAAAGGCACAGATCCCTAGAGCTGCCGTGGCCCTGGCCTATGGTCTGGCTGGCCTGCCCAGTGCTTGCTGTTGATGTAATGGCCTCTAGTGGTCACTAGATCATCTGCTCGCTGTCGAGCATGAATTGGAGCTACCAGACAAGAGCTTCCCTTCCACAGCCTAAACACCCACTGTGTCTTGGCAGCATTTCAGATACCGACCGTGTAAGATCATGTAGATGTTCCCTTCGTGGCGCTAAGTCACAACAGCAGAGCTTTGTAGGACAGTGAAGCAAGTACAGTGATGGAACTCTAGGAGACAGAGTGGCTGCCGGTGCCACCTCCAGTTCCCGGGGAAGTTTCTAGAACCTGTGATAACATCCAATTCCAGCTCCCTTTGTCCCTTTGGAATCTTTCTAAGGTCATAGGGATGGATGATGCCTTTAGTGTCTAACAGTGTCTGGCACATGATTGTTTCTGGAAACACTGGCAGATAGCTCTCATTGTAGCCTAGACAAATGGAAGAGCTTTGTGTGGTGGACTGAGGAGAATATTACTAAGATAATGGTGCTTCAGTCACTTATTGGCCATGACAGTTCATGAAATCCACTACAACAGGACTAATGCCTGGTTATGTTTGCCATGGGTCATTAGTGACCTGGCCTCTCTGTCACACTGGGTTAATGCTGAGGGGAGATGTGCTTCTCTCGGTACATGTGCTGGGCAGCTTGGGCAGGGGAGGGGCTCCTCTGACCCTGTCTACTGGGAGTTTAAAACAGAGATGTTAGCAAACGTATCCCCGGGTTGTGACCCATCGATGATGACCGACATGCCACGGGAGAGAAAGTAGCAGCCCTGATGCCCTGTGGAGTGGTGTGGTCAGTCAGCCAGCTCTGATCTGACACAAAACTTGTTAGTCTCAAGCCCCACTGAGACTATTTTTCAAGGACAAGGTTAAAAGGCCTACTTGGAAGAATCTCCTGGAACACAGTGCATTGTTGGGACCACCTCACATGCTTCTTCCTCTACAGATCTGCCCTCCCATCCCTGACTAGACCTGAAAGCAGAACAGCTTCTGAATTGCCAAGAAATGGTGGGTAGGAGCAGTGATTAATTGCTGTGTTGACGATCACAGTCCTTGCAATGGGGAACAAACAGATATGCGTTAGACTCCAAAGGACATAATCTGAGTGTTAGCAACAAGAATATCTGGTTATCCAGAACTTTGCCTTAGAGAATTGCCCCAGTCAATCAAGGGTAAGCTGCGTGGAGTTACTAAGGGGTGTGACGAGGGAGGCGTCTGCTGTTTCTTGGCTCAGTCGTAACTTTTGCTGACAGACAGATGTGATACGAATGTGATGACACTTGCCACACTTAACAACCATTAACCTGACATCTCTTCGCTCCCTGTTAATGCTGGTTTAGGTTAGAAAGGCAGTTACGTGAACTCCAGAAGATGTCGGGGAGTACATCTCATTTAGTGCATGATTCGCGGAGCAGGTTGGGTTGAGGAGCTTGCCAACTCCTCTAAAGCCCCCAGAGTATATAGAACCTTGGCATTGGTGCAGAGATAGAAAAAGACGTCTTGATCATCATGCTGGAAAAACTGTTTAGTTTTCTATGGAAATGCTATAGCATGGAAAGGAGAGAAAGATGTAGCTTTCTAAGTTAACAGTGTCTGGGATGTGGTACATGGGGCAGTGCCACAGGCAGCATTGTGTACATGCCCTTTGGTTTGCAGGATGCAGACGACATGACAGCCCTAACCTGCCTGAAGTTCCTACCCTGGACAGTAGACGCTGTCGTCTGGAACTGCTTCAGCAGGCTCTGAAGGCTGGACATAGAGACTCCTTGCTCTTAAATGTATTTGACCTCCTCTCTGAGCCACTGGAAAGTTCTTGGCCATTGAGAAAGTATCTGTAGACTTCCTTCTACTGTGTGTGTATAAGTTCATTCTTGTGTATGAATGCGAGTCCACATTTACATGACATACATGTGCAGGTCAATTATTCCTCACCGTCTACCTTGCCTGAGATGACCTTTGTTTTTGACTTCTTTGTACACAGATTTTCTGGCCTGTGGGCTTCTGGGATTCTTTTCCCATCTTACCATAGGAGCCCTGAAACCACAGGTTATGCTACTGCACTCTGCCTTTGTTTGGGTTCCGGGAATTTGAAGTCAGCTCTTCACGCTTTCACAGTGTTACGGTTTCAACCTGAAACATCCCTAGCGGCGCACCTGCCATGTGTGAGTAGGTGGTAGATGCTGTGGAGCCTTGCTGGAGGAAGCACATCTCTGAGGGTGGGCCTAGGGTTTATGGCCAGGCCCACTTTCTCTTCACCATTTGCTTCTTGGGGTGTATGTAATGTGCTGCCCGCAGCTTCCCGCTCCTGCCACCTTGCCTTGCCTACCAGCTGCCCTGCCTTTCCCACTCTGTCCCTCTGGAACTGGGAGCCAAAATAAACCCTCCTCCTTAAGTGGCCTTCATCAGGGTGTCCAGTCAGTGACAAGAGCGGTGACCACAGGGCAAGTGCTTTATCCACCGTGCCATCGCCCCAGCCCTTAGACATGTCCGCTCTTGGACAGCTGTAGATTTGCTGTTTGTTTTTTTTAAGACAGTGTCTCATTTTATCCCCTATGCTGGCCTCATGGATTCTCAAGTACTGGGTTAGTGGGTCTTCAGCTTTTCTTTTTACAGCTATTTTTTTTTATTATTTATTTAGTGGCTAGTAAATGTTTTTAGTACCAAGAGATATTTAAAGTAAGTATATATTACAAACAAAATATGTATATAGTCAGCCTAGTGTCTTTAACTTTTACTTTTTTGGAAAAAAATTAAGTAAAATATAAATGTGTGTGTGTAAATGTTTGGGAAACTCTGGAGTGGCTCAAACAATAATTGAAATTGAAAACCATTAAAAATACTTTAATATTAAAGAAAAACAAAAACATGTACATCTTTGACTGATGAACGGAAATGGTTCCTTGACGCTTCAGTGTTAATGAACCTAGCGCGTAGACTATTACCTGGCTCTGCATACGTATACACTAAGCGAATACAACCAATATGATGAAAAATCTGCAAGAATTAATGTTGCTGTAACAAATGATCATTAAGGTAGATTTAAAGACATAAATGTGTTCTGTGGTCTGGAGGCATCGAAAATAAGCCCTTTGCTCCGTAACATACACAGCCTTCTAAGGCGTGGTTCCCAGGGACCAGGATCACAGGTGATTACATCTGGACTCTTCCTTTTGATTTCATGATTTAGTTATTTGAGCACTGCCAGTTTGATGGGAGACCCGAGACAAATGATAGCGCTCAGTAAGAGGGCAGAGGAATATGTAAGGTCATTCTGAGAACTGAGTGGCCCTGGCAACCCAAACCCCAGCTGTTTCCATGGAGAAATATGCCCCACAAGGACCTTCTTTGAAATCAACGTTTGAACTCCTGCTGATTTATAAGTTGGGGGCTAATGATATAAAGCCATCACCTACTGATGTGTAAAATCCTCAGCACTAGCCTGTCATCAAGAGTTTATTGAGTGACTTCTGGGTGGATTACACTGATAGGCGTAGCAGAGAGAAACAAAAGACTGAAAGAAGCGCGACTGCCCTCCAGAAGTCTAGATGGAGAGGGAAGCCCTGACTATACAGCAGCTTCTGTGGTGCCTGAGCCAAACGCCGGAGTCTGCGAGCAGCAGCAGGGAAGGGGATGTGAAGCCAGTGTGGTTAATCAGGAAAATGCAGGATTCCACCCTGGAGCATGTTCTCTATTCATTTGTAATCCCCAGAGGCACCAAAGACTCTCCCATTCTTCCTGAAGAGCCTTGTGGGTAAAGTGGTGGCTACAGAGATCCTGGCATGGTCAACTTGAAACCACACAGGAGAGGTTCAAGCCTACACACACACACACACACACACACACCACACATACACCACACACACACACCACACACACACCACACAAACACCACACCACACGCATCCACACACCACAAACACCACACCACACACACACTGCACACACACACCACACACACACACACATACCACACACACACACCACACACACACCACACAAACAACACA